TTTTTTTTTTTGTCTTTCGTATAAAAACACCATAAATTTTTAGTTATACTTAACTTATTGTTCAGTCTCTTTGTAAGCTTTTAAATAAAACTAAATTTCTTTTTGGATAAACTTAAGTGTTAAAATTATTGACTGCTAATTTAAGGTCAACAAACAAATCAGTGGGAAATGCTGTGACATTAAAGTTTATCGACAATTAGGTGTTATTACACAGAAAAGCAAAAAATTTTACAGTTATACAGTGTTCATCAACAACAATGTTTATCAGTTGCCTTTGGAACTGCAGCAAAAAGTTATACTGTTATCAAACAGCAATTAGTTTTTTTTTTGTTATATGTAAAAGTAATTATTAAGTAAAATTTAATTCTTTTCTTTACTGTTTTGCAACATTTTTGCTTTTTTACCGTGACTTTTTAAGCAAAAATTCTACTGAGTATAACGATTTATTCAAGTATCAGTGTATCAATGTAGTTATCTGTGACACTCTAAGGTATTTTTTTGATTGAAAATCAAAAAAGTTAAAAAAGAAAGAAGAAAAAGAAGAAGAAGAAGAGGAAGAAGAAGAATAAAACGAAAAAGTTAGAAGAGAAAGGAAGAAGAAGGGATAAGATATTATTTTATCGGTACTATTGGATTACCAACAATTCGGTTTAACAGTGCATTCTTTTGTACAGTTAACAATAAACTGTTCTCAACAGTACTCTGTGTACCATTTTTCTTCCACTGCCGTAATCATCTTATCGTTTTTTTTTCTTTCACTCATACCGATCAAAAAAAAACTTTAGATCTGTCCTTTTTTTCCTCTTTTTCTTTTTTTTTATCCTATTACAGCATCTTTCTGAAACATATTAAAAAAAGAAAATACAAAATTCCTTTAAAAAAGTTTTGTTGTTATTTTTGTTGTTTTTGTTCACATTGTTTTATCGTTTGTTCTTCTGGTTTTTACCGACCAATATTTAACTCATCCTTTGCACATATATTTTTTGTGGTACATACAGTTCACAACTATCAAAACAGATTAAAGTTGTGAAAAAGTGCTAAACTGTTGTTCAACAACGATTAGATACTCTTTTTTTTTTCTCGCTATTGTTGTTGTAAAATCTGATTTTATCTTACCGATGTTAGTTTTTGATGTTATTTCTGTTGTTGTTGTGGTTTTTCACCGCTAATTCATTGCAATTACTAACACTTTCTTATGAGGTTTATGAAATGCATATAAATGCTTTACAACTAAAATATCAATTTCTGTCTTTTTTTTTTGTTTTTACTAATACTGACAGCAGAAGAAAAAAGAGTATTAAAAAAACTGCTTCAGAAGAGATTTTAAATCAACATTTTCAGTGTGCTTATCAAGTGTTTTGCTGCACATAAAAATTATCAGTTTTTGCATAATATTCAAAAAAAAGCCATTTTTTTTTGTTTTATAAATTTATTTTTTTAGACAACTTTTTTAAGACTTAACAGATTTACGGCTTTACGTTTAATAAGTTTTTGAATTTCTATTTCTTTAATCTTTATGGTAATTTTTGCAGTAAATTTGATAAGAAATAAAATTGCAGATAAAATTAGATTTTTGAAACTGTAATCGTCTTAAACCTCTTTCTTCAATTATCATAAAATTATAATATTTGTTATATCAATTGTTGGCTAAATGTACCTTTTTTTTTAGTTCAAGATAAATACCTCATAAAAGTTGAGCCATAAAGCACTAAAAGATATACGTGAAAAAATTTCCGGTGTTCTACCCAGTATAAGTGATGTATATTTTTATATTAAAGTGTCAATATTTTCCAGTAATAATTTTGTTAAATGACGCAAGAGGAAATTAGTTAAGCAAACGAAAAAAAAGACCTGCTGAATTTTGGGTAACCAAAAGTTTTATTCGAATTTGTTAAGAAAAAAAGTGACTAATTACGTTGAGAGTCTTTCAGTAATAATGATGGCAATAGTGATTGTAATGATTTTGCAGTTAGGTGGGAAGCAGTCAAAAAAAAAGTTTCTAG